ATATATATATATATATATATATATGATGTCCTTTTTTCTATTTTTTTTTGCAATATTTTCAGCGATGGAATAACACTTTCTTCATGTGGACACCCAGTATGTATGGAGGAGTGGAGGAAATTCTTGTCAGTCCTAACGTTATGTCGGCACCTGACATTGTGTTACACAACAACTACGTGATTCTTTGTAGAGTTAAGGTTTTCATTGGCATGTTGGGTATGAGTAGCTATAATTACTCAAAAGAACGACCTACTAACTGATCAGCTAACTGACTGGCTGACCGGCCAACCAACTGTCTATAGAAACAGACGAAGTTTCTTTAGAGAGGAGGAAAGGCGAAGAGAGTGATGAGGACCGAGATTTCGGTATGTTTCAGAGAATAGATGATTGAATTTCAATGAGTTGGTAGAGGGACTGAGCGATCAGAGCTATTCATTAAGTCGGCATTAAAATGACTTTTGTTGGAATTTCGTGAATAATAACATCATTAAGTGAGATGAAAATTTAAAAAGACTTGATTTTGTGCGAAATTTTGTACGGAATTTTGCACGAAAAGGATTACTAAGGAAGTAAGTTAGTAAGGTAAGTAACCTTTTATAATGTGGTCAAATACATTTAGCTCATAGCAGCATTGTGAGTATCACTATTCTCCAGATCAGTTATTGCTGAGAGCAAGCACAGTGCTAAAAGAAACTCAACTATGTACAGATAATTGGAATTGTGTGTTGTCAGTTTTTTTCTTGCGCTCTTTAAAGGTATTTAGTTTAGTCTTTTGTTTCAATGCTTCTGGCAATGCGTTCCATATTTTCGGGGCCAGGTACTCTTTTTCCATGAACACAATATTCGCATCGATTCCAATTAACAGAACAGATTCAAAAGAGTGCCTCCTGATCAATACAGAAGATAGAGGTAACAAAGAAAGAACATCGTATCGAAGGTTTTCCTCACCGGCCCCTTTACTGTGATTCACTTGAGCCTCATAATCTGCCGGAAACCACTGCACTTTGTTGTCTTTTGCATGGTACCGTGCATGCTGATCGGAGCATTGATTTTTGTTAGCTTCTTCATTCCTGCAGAAAGTGGGGAGCGAATCGGTTTCAGTTGCACAATCCTTCTCTCCGTAAGTGTTTACCTCTTGACCGTGACAGAGGCCCTTCCCGAGCAGTCTGACTCTTTGCCACTGATCGGTGTGTACTACATTACAATCATGATAGAAATAGCGTTGGCGCTGACCGCCACCATTTTAGTACTCAAGGCCCATCATGCTACTACAGAACCACCTGGCTTCCTCAAGGGGATGTTATTTATCAACAAAATCTACAGATGTTGTCGTTAGCCTAAGAGAAGTAAACGAAGCTCAAAAATTGAGCCCCTGTGCAAGCGGTCGTGCTGGACTACAGCAGTGATCAAAAGGAGAAACAAGAAGACAGTGAAGAAAGATACCGCAAGAAAATCTCAATAGTCTGAGCCAGCTCTCAGTAAGCAGGGGTTCCCAGCTGTTCACTCGCCCCAACACCACCGACGGTGAAGGGGAAGAAGGGGGCTGGAGCGAGACCTGGCGCCAGATTGGGAAGGCCCTAGCTAAACTGCTCTTTGGACTTTTACCATAAGGCTTTTTATTTCTACTAGTGTCGTTTTCACCATCCTTAGCCATGTCGTTAAATGATGAAGTGGTTAAGTTCTACGGTGCTCAAAAAGGAGCTTGAGGACATAACTTTTGAGAAACGGACTGCGACTGGAAGGGGAATGTAACTGACTCCTTTTGATGCGCACTGACATAAACGAATTATCTGAGAAATTTCTTTTTTCTTAAATTTTAAACTTTATGTTATACACAAAAGATCTGCAGCAAGCATCCGAGGAAATAACTCTCAACTTCTGGCAGATATCCAGTTATATAAGTGGCCTGTACCTAAGCTGCCGAAAAAATAATCCCAACCAGGTTAACTGCTTCTATGCGAACTAGATCTATCATGATACCGGGAAAAATTTAGAATTTTACTTCGTGCGAAAAAGCACCAGTTGCTGACCAGTAGGCTTTTTTTATTTTGATTAGTATGAAATTGGTTGAAAAGATAAACAGAAGTAAAGTAATTTGCATACGAAACTCATTAATGTTTGAATAGAAAAGCAAATTTCAAGTTGCCTTGTTTTTGTTTGAGGTACCTGGTCAATACGACCACAGCATTAGATTTGTACTTCTCGCATGGATAACCATCGAATCTGAGATTTTCTAATTTTGTTTCCCGTCGATGTCATCTTTGACAAGTCGTGGAATCAAAAATTAAGAGATCTTGTGGTAAATTCTACAATTAATTTTGTTTCCCGTCGATGTCATCTTTGACAAGTCGTGGAATCAAAAATTAAGAGATCTTGTGGTAAATTCTACAATTAACTTGGTTTCGATTTACTTGGAACAATTATTAAAAATTCAAGTAAAAAATGTAATCAACTAAATTACCGGACGTGGTTAATGTATGTTTGAATAAAGTGTTGTCAGCTATATCAGAAATTATATAAGTAATTGTAAGCGTTGTTACCGAGTATCCGCCAGTTTAGTTGCTTTATTACTGTATACTTGGAAAGGTGAACCATATTCGTGTCATCTATCGTAACATTGATAAGATTAAGGGGAAATACACGTTCGGCGATGGCACTATTAATGAATCTAGAAATTGTAAGTGTTGTCACCGAATATCCGCCCATTTAGTTGCTTTTTTAATACTGTAAATCTGGATAGATGAACCATGGTCGTGTCGATCATCTATCGTAACATTGATAAGATTAAGAGAGCATACAGTCACGTTCTGCGGGGGCACTATTGACTTTGCAGTGAAATGAAAAACACACCAAAAGAGAAAACTTTTTAAAATTTTTATTCTACCTTAGCGTTTATCAACGATTGCAAAAACCAAAACAAAACAAAACAAACAAAAAAACAGCACCACCGCCAACAACAAATAAAACAGAGAAGCCCAAAGATATGTCCCTTTCCAAATGTTTAGAATTGTACTGATGAATGTTTAATCCGGAGAAAGTTTGTCGTCTTAAGTTGTAATGAGTGACGTGCAAAAAAAAAAAAAAAAATGTATCTACAATCAACTGAATATAACTGTAAACTAATAAAATTTGAACAAATAGTGAGTATTAAAGAAAATACTTGTCAATTCTGGAAGCGCTTGATTGATCACTTGTCAGCCACCAGGACTTAACGGGTTTCTCTAGAGAACAAAAAGCGGAAAAAAAAAAACCAAACGATCGGGTAGCCGGTTATTTGACTCTTCTCACCAACGCCGATTCAAAGCCTAGGAACGGGTGATTTCAGCAGTGGCCAAGACGTCTACGACACCCATTGCAAGTAAGTTTATAGATTGAACTGCTCGCTATCATTGAATTGGAACAAGATTTTTTTGTATTTTTCGTTTTCTTCAAGTCGGTTCTCTGAGCAGCTGTTCTGATAAGTAGAGAGAATATCATTAACCCCTCCAAAATTCACTTCATTTAATGTTTCAGTGACCGAGAAATTCAGTTAGGTATTTGTCCTCGATAACTTCCCTTTCAAGAGTCGTAAATTTTAAACTTAAGCGATACAATCTATACTTGTGAGACGGAGGCTTCAAGCGCTAGCATCAGCTAATTAAATTCAAATGCATAGACGGATAAGCTTTATTGCAGTCGACTGTCTTCGTATTTAAGATATATATGGATGAAACTAAAGAAACATAAGCTACCATACGGCAACGGCGCACAAGATGGAAACGCTGGACAGGTAGATGATAAAAAACTGTTCTTTCTTTCTTTCACGAGCGTGAAATTTCTGGCATGATGTGGCTGAGAAAGTAAGAATATTGCAAGATATCTGCTTACTATCTTTTTTAGGCTAAAGTCGGAGATCATTCCACAATCATCTACTGAAATGTTGAGCTCAGTCTGAATGTAAAATTATATTTAGATTCTGTTATCATGATCGAGAGGGCGGAAAGGACTCTGGAAGCATAGAATCATTCAGTTTCCCTGAGCAGATATACTGATTTGCTTTGTTCCTGTTGTATTATCGCAGTCTAGGAAATACTTTCTTTCCCTATTTTTGACTGTCCCTGTATTCTTTCCGTAATGGGAATGAAAAATGAGAGACCAATGTCTTATATACCATCAAGGAAAACAGAACAAAAAAAATTCAGCAAACATTGAAAAATCAGAGAGAAACGAAAAAGATATCGACATCACCCGCTTTGGTGTTAAAAACTTCCAAAGTCTACGTAGAATAATGATCGAATTACAGTTTAGAGGGTTAGATGTTATTGTTGATGTTTCCTTTTTTGGTGGAGAAAAAACCGTCAGAAAAAAATACAAAATAAAATTCCATTGGCCAGAAACTTGTCACTTGTATGAAACCATTGGCATAACATTCTGTACAATGTATATCTATCTTCCTAATACCTATCTTTGAAAGTAGGCTGATTGAGGTAATTTCTGAATTCTCGTAAAAGCTGTATTTCATGTTAAACTAAACCAACACATTTTTTATATATCATCATCGTTCTCAACTGCTGCTTGTCTTTTTTTCCAACGGAAGAATTGATTGAAGTTGGAGAAATTTGTTTTACATTGATGTCAAAAAGATATTGTTTGGATTAACTGACATTTCCTAGTAAGACAGTTTTGCTAAAGTGTGTTTAAACATTCTTGAATTGTTTGGAATTTATTGGAACAGAGCTGTCTCTGAAGTACACAATACATCGGATATTTGTCTCTCCTTCAGCAGGTGAATCGTTGTTGTAATAGCAATGAAAGAACAACATTCTGAATTTTGGGGATTTATTTTAAGGGAACGCTGGCTAACCAGCTGCATGTGTTAAGCCATCACTTTGTACAGCTTGCCTCCCTCGATCTATCGGATTAATTTCTTTTATAATGGAAATGGTATCACAAACATGATATTTATTCTTTTTAACGGGAGAGGAAGAAAAGGTTCACCTACTGGTATTAATGTCTTCGCTATAACATATTGGCAGGGGCATAGCATGAGATTTTGAAGGTGTACCCACAGCGCGGAAATTGCGAGCACCGAAGGCGCCCCAAACTAGGGCCTCCCTCAGAAAATTTTGAAACTAAGGTCTCGGGAATGCCATTTTCAACAATTTTCGCGGAATTTTTTTAATAAATAAATGCGACAGAAAATACAGTAGTTGTTTATTTTACCATCTCTAGAGTCTTAAAGCTGTAAGGGTGCTGGCTTCCTAAAATAACTAGAGAGTTAACAAGTCTAGAAAGCCACATAACTTTTCTTGTCGTTTATGGAAAGGTACTTGAAAAACAAAGACATACGCCAGTATAATTCGAAATTTAAAAATCGGTCCTATTTTATGGCAACTATGACAAATGCTATGAGGGAATAAAAAAAAGATTCCAGATTTCAGCTGTTCGCACGGGCGTACGTGCGTATATGAACGTTATGCCTCTGATTGGTGAGAGCCATGACATAATGCAATACAAAAGTGAAAGAAACTGACAAAACAAAACAAAACAAAAGAAACCAACATACAAAGAACAAAATTTATCGACCGTTTGTTGACAATTACAAAAGAATCCGACAATCTTCGTTGAAATGAGATTGACAATAGTTTTTAAAAGCGGCTCTACAACGCTTAGATCACCAAAATTAAGAGACTGTCTTGAAAGTGATATAAACGCAACCCAAAGCAGACATTCTGAAAAGTTGATTCAATGAGTCTACATTTTTTGTCATGTTTATCCTTTGAAGCCCTTCACCAAAATATGGCTGAGAAGCACTAGCCAATTTGATTAGCACTCATCGATATTCGTTATTGTGGGATTCCATTTCAGTGGATCGACATTTAACTGGTTCCCTAGCATGCATGTGTCAAACTAACGTTTTGAAAATCCTGCTACCTTCAACTTATCGAGTTTTTTTTTTTTAAATGCTCCGGAGTGGAGGATGAAGGACCCAATTTTGAAAGAAGCTGAGCTTGCCCTGAATCGCCTCAGAATCATAGAGCATGTATCTAAAAAAGAATGGTAACAAGATTAGTGTCGCTAGTGGCATTTCTGTTCTTTAGTTTTCAAAAATTAAGTAAATGATGAAGACGTTTGAGTCAAGTTTGGGGTTCTCCATTTTCACAGCAACTTAAGCGACAAAAATAAAAAAAAATAGTTTTGATCCAATATTTTTTTCGTCTACAAATACGTCAATTGCCAACTGTGAATAATCTAATTTTTTTCCACTTTTTGCAGTAAGAAGGACGGAGGCAGCATTTGGTCCGACCTTTTTGAATTCCGGCCAATCTGAGTACACAACATCACCAAATCATCAAACGATATTTATCTTTCCAACTTCAACATCAATTTACAGTAAGACTTTAGCACTGACGGGCGGAAGAAGTTATGTTAGTTGTGCAAACAACTTTATGCAATTTGTGAATTTTGCCTTAAAGTAGTGAAGACCTACAATTACAACGATCACCACTTGGAAAAGGCCAACTTTGCGGTACAACGGTGCTGAAAGCAAAAACGAGATGAATAACAAAACTCTTGCGCGACGACCACCTCTGTCACCGGAGTTAGCTTCCCTTATAAACACGGTAGATGTAGTGCATCTGATATCTGGAGTTTATCTTTCCATTATCGCTGTCCTGACGATAATTGGAAATGGCCTGCTTCTCTTGGCTATCATGAAAGACCCTTTCAAGTCATTCCGAACACCCACAACCCTCTTTGTGGTAAGTCTTGCGGTAGCGGATTTCCTTACTGGTGCCGTTGTGGAACCGTTGACAGCTTATATTTACATTGGTGTATACCTTAAATTTCATCTTAATCCAGAAAAGCAGAAGGCATTTAACAATTGTCAAAATTTTACCTCGCGCTTCTCCTTTGTTACCATGAACGCATCTTTCCTGATTTTACTGGCATTGACGTTTAGTCAGTACGTGGCCATATCGTTCCCGCACAAGCACCGCTCTGTTGTCAACCATAGAAATGTTATGATCGTTTTGATCGTAATAACGATATATTCAGTTCTGTTCTCACTTCTTCCCGAATATAACGTCTCTCTTAGATTGAAGTTGGAAATAGATGTGCTTTTAAACACCAATGCCATTGCCCTCGTATTACTCCTGAGCTATGGGCTCCTCTATCGAGCTTATTATTTACATCTTAGTCGTGTGAGCTCATTGGACGAAAACGAGGCCGCACGGGCTCGTAGGAAAGAGCAAGAACGCGAATTTACCACGGTTAATTTACTTTTGGTGACATTTTTTCTTGTATTTACTCTGCCTTCCATTATTCTTTGGAATCTCAGGCTGTATAAGTATTACGATACTCGTTCTCTACCCCCTGACCAACAGCTGAGACTTTCTCTTGCACGTGCGCTTATTTTTGATGTTTTTGTCATGAAGTTTGCTCTTGATCCATGCATTTATGCGTGGAGATTGTCCAAATACCGTCAGGCAATCAAAAAGGTTATTAAGTGTGGACAAGATGTTTCTGAAATCGACGCAAGCACTTCTACGAACACAACTTCACTCCAAAGTTCAAAATACGCCGGAGTCGATAGCCAAAAAGGTCAAGAGAGGGGTCGGTCTGGCTCTACTGCTCTTCCCCTTAATCCGCATCATCAGGAAATTCCAGGGCCATAAATTAAATATAATAAGGATAAGTGACCGAACTAAGTTGGCTTGTGAAAAAAAAAAAAAGGAAAAAAAAAATGAAAAAAGGAGACGGAGGTGAAAGAGGTGTGAGAAGAGAGGTAAAAAGGTGTAAGACAACTTTGAACCTGGCATAAAGATGGAATCGAAAGGACAACTTCAGGGATAAAATGATAAAAGATACGTGTTGATAAGTAAATAGATAAATAACAGAGTAACTAAACCGACGTATACTTATGCAATCTGTGTAAATAAATCAAGTATTGTAAATTCTGGGGGCAGCATCGCACCACCTGTAGGTTTTACACGTGAGGATAATATCGATTCTGCTAAGGCCCTATCTGACCCCTTAGTGAATAAATATTGCTTATTTTCTTCGCTGATGTGCTCGTTGATGGCTTTTATTTCAATAACATAACTGAATTTTATGTAGAATACTGCCAGCTCACACGATCACGTTCCTAAGTTCAGAATTGAGAAACATTTGAAAATACGCTAGGTCGCGTCTTAATGATACATGCCTTTGGTGGCGATTTCGGAATTTTCCATAACGTGTTTACTTCCTTTTTTGAAAAATTGATCCCTTCATGGTAGACTCGTTAACTTTCTCTTATCACTGAATAAAGGCTGATAGTTTCTAAAGAAACTTTTTGGGGCTGCGTCGGTGGGAGTAACGAAATAATTTGGATATATCAACAAAGTTGAAATGCTAAATTGGCCACCGTAACGATTACAAAGGCTGACATTTCGAGCGTTAGCCCTTCGTCGAAGGGAATAGAGGAATTGTGGGTTGTGTGAGCTTTTAAAGGCAGAAAATGGAGCTACGTTATTGGTGGGAACATGGCAACGAGAAAAACACGAACAAATTAGTGGAATGAAAAGCGTTCGTTGATCCCTTAAAAACTTTAAATTACTTCAAAACGATCCAGAGACAAGCACTATCTTTTCGCAGCCTCCGCTCATTTCATTCAAACGCGACAAAAACATAGGCAATTTTTTTAGTCAGAAGTTCTTTTCAGACTGATGACCAACCAGGCACTTTTAAATGCACTCGTGCACGATGCAAAACGTGTCCTTTCATTCACAACACTGATAAAATATCGGGACCCAAACGATCCATTAAGATCACCGATCACTTCACGTGCACCTCCGCCAATGTAATCTATTGCATAACTTGCACTTATTGCAAAAAGATATACATCGGCGAAATAGGCAGAAGACTAGGTGACCGATTCCGAGAACACCTTCAGTCGCGAGGTGGAAAAGAATGACAAGGACACATCGAGACCAGTCGCTACACACTTTAATTTACCTAATCATTAATGAGTTTAATGATATATTACAATGATATATTACAATATTACAAAAAATTAATATGCACAGCCCGCAGTTAGCAAAGGCTAGTCGAGGCAACATATGGCAATCCACGGTCGTTCCTTACACTTAGGTGGCACAAAAAGCCGTAAAACTCTTGAACAAAAGCTCATCTCTGAAACCGGCAGTCTACATCCCACAGGGATGAACGAACGCACACACAACTCACAATTCCTCTATTCCTTCCGACGAAGGGCTAACGCTCGAAACGCCCGCTTTTGTAATCGTTACGGTGGCCAATTTACCATTTCAACTTTGTTGATATATCCAAATTTTCTCGTATCAACATTGTTATCCCGATGAGCGGAACTCGTCGGGATAACTCCGATTTGTTATCCCGATAACTCGTCGGAATTCCGATTTAGCTTCTTCGTAGTTCCGAAGCCATTTGTCGTTCATTGCACTAAATGAATGAGGGTCCAGTTTTTCGTTAGTCATGATAGAAGCAATATAAGCAAGGTTTGCAAACATTGAAAAACAAAAATTACATTAAGTTAAATAGATAAAGGAATAAATGACATATAATAAGATACGAAAAAATAAAAGAAGACAAGAAAGTAGAAAAAGTGAATCATCCACAACCTAAACAGTGAGCGGAAACCAAATAAACAGATAGAAAACAAAAACAGACAGAAAGCTGAAATAAGGCACCGATAGTCTTAAGAAAATGATAAGAATAAAAATGGAAAAAAAAATAATCATGAGATCAGCGCTTGTTTTTTCCAAAGTAGACGAAAATGGGCGAACAGTGTTTCCGTTTCCTCTTTTCTCATTGAATGTTTGTTAAAAATGCATGATGGGTAGAAACTGGACATCGCGCATGCGTAATACGAGCACGTGTTCATATGATGTCACGACGGGCTCAAAGAAGGAAAACTTTTTCATTTGTGTGGACTGATGGGTTGTTGTATTCGCGTGTTAGAACTCCAGAACGACTTTGAATGAACTAGTAATTTGAAATATTGGACAAAATTTTAATACAGTTATTATTGAAACTCCTAAAAACGCGATTTACCACGACGAACTCACACATAAACATCAAGAACTCTCCGGTCCGCGCCAGACGTAAGCGAGCTGCTTGCGGTAAAATGGCAATTAAATGTCTGCATTCTGACCATTCGTCTACGGATGATCAGGTCAAATATCAGAAGACTCAGGCTGAAGAAGATCAAAAATTTAAAGAAAGTGAAGGTAAGGACTAAAATTGGGTGAGACATTGCTGTATACTAATTAACAGTAATGTTTGTTTACTATTTGTCAGAGGACTGTCATGAACCCCAAACGGAAGTGATATATCTATCATGATCTGGCATTCATCCTTTTTCTTTAGTGTATTTAACCTTACGTCAATCCGTCTGTCAAATGTTTCACTCTTTTTCCCTTTCTTTTAAGAATTTGGTCGCCTATGTATCCTTATTTCGTTATTTTTCTTTGTTGATAAGTTGTGTTAAGTTGGCTCATTGAATTGTATACCATTTTTTATTTTTAATTTTAGTATTTTGAAAGCTTTTGTTTCCCTTTTTTAAAGTTGGGTCAATTCCAAGTCTTGATAGTATCATGTACAAGCCATTCTATGAGTCAACTTGAAATTAAAGTGCAGATGAAGCCAGATCAGTTTGATCTTCTTAAATTTTCTCTGTGATCTTTTAAATACACACAAGTGAGACTGAAAATCTTAGTATTATAATTGAGAATCATTATGTGCATGGGGGTAAACATTAAGATAAACACCAACAAATACAACAAGCTAAGAGAACAAAACCAGGTTTAGCCAAAACTGAAGGTTTTCTTATTACAGTAACTTTAATGTAACTGGCTGTGGTTTCTTTGGTTCTGAATTTCTTTTTACTTTAAGATATGGGAGGTTCTCAAGTAGTCTCTGGAATGTGTGTAAAATGAATCTTTTGTAATTGGGTTTTATATTTTGTGCATATGAACAAAGAAAAGTTTTCACAACACACAAATTTCTGGCCAGCAAAATTTTTATGCTAGCCTACACCAGAAGTATATTAAGTAGTTAAAGTTACACCAGGGTTAAAGTTTAAGAACTGTTTTTATTTTGATGATTAGGTGCTGATAATGCAGGTGTTTTATATGTCCTACCCCATCTTAAGCATGACTGGTATCAGAAGGTGAGTTTTAATCAAAACAAATTCAAAAATACTCTGAGGAAAGTATGGAACTACTGTCTGAAAAGGATTATTTTTTCTTCATGTTTTTAGGGTACAACATGCATCTACCATGCATGTAAGGTGTATGTATACATTTAACATGCATGTAATATGCATGTAGTTTTGATTCCAGTATGCAATATTTCTGGCTGTTTTCTAAGTTTGTGAGATGATTTTATTTTTTCATTTTGAAACATCATTCATTACATAGAGGTAAAGATACACTGAATCAGGGCTTGACACGGACTTTCAACTTCCTGGACAAGTGGCTAGTGACAATTTCAGTTTGTTTATTGGCCAAACTGGCAAGTGGAAATCGAAAACCATTAGCCAAAACTGAATTTCTACTAGTCTATGGCTAGTTAGCTACTATTGGTGTCGAGCCCTCCTGAATGAATTTGATTTTTGTATGAGAAAATCATCGTTTAACCAGCAATTCTAGAAAGTGAGCAACATATTGTTTTAACATGAAGAAGTACTATAACCAATGAGGTGTATAAGGCTCTTTAATTTTTCTTTTATTTTAGAGTCTGAATAATGAAAAAAATATATTTCTCAGATTCTTGTATCTTGTAAGCTAAAGTTTCTTCCAGTCCTCTCCTTTCCTCTCCACTTCAAAGTAACTATAGGATTAATTCTAAGTTTATGACTGAGTTGAAACTACTTGTGGGGTTAGCATTTCTTTGCTCCCAGAAAGGGATTTTAGCTCCACAACATGTAAATTTATTACTTGCTTTTAATGATAATCGTTTTCATAAACATAAGAAATGACATCATCAAAACCCTAACCAGGGTCCTTATGGTCCATTGCTACTGTGGAAATACATGCTACTCAAGTCCCTGATAAAGTGAATTGAATGTTAAGTGTATTATCAGATAACAAAATTGTGTGTATATAGGTATTTAGGTGTTTATGATCTGTTATAACTGAATTAATGGTGGTGTAGTTTCAGATAAAAAAATTGTGTGTACATGTTCGTATTTATGGTCTGTAATACATCTATTGCATGACCCTCAAGGATATATATAGTAGTTGGAAACTTTGTAGAGAATCTACTAGAAAACTATATTAGGAAATAGAAATTAAAGTAAAACTGAAACATAAAGGTAAGGAAGAAAGGAGTGGAAACCTTAAGAGAATAAAACTTGCAGGAATAGTCCAAGTCAGTTATAGTCCAAGTCAGTTATATGACTATGTTTTTTAACTAGATGCAATCCTAAACATTCTGGAGTGTAGTTGAACCCCACTAACTCAAGCTTGGTGAACTCAACCCCCTGGTAACTCAATCAAGATCCAATTTCCCTTGACCCCTTTCAGTCATTTACCATCAGCTTAAACTTGAACCTTTGCTAATGAACTGGCATCATTTTTCCCCCTCTGGAGTTTCAAGAGTTAGTGGAGTTCTACTGTAATTTATTTTGGAGCTTAACAAGAGCCAATTGTTGACTGAAGACTGATTCTGTATGCTGTTTTGTTACATGTCTTTGTTGTTTTCTAACTTATGGAATTTCTTGGTTTTTAAAACAACAATTGACATGCACTTTGTGTTGTTGTATCTTTCTGTTTCTCTCAGGGTGAAGTTGTTGTTGTCCATTTGTATATTAAAAATTTTATCATGCTTGATACAGTCCTTTATGAAGATGAAATTCAGGTTAAATTTTCCACCAGGTTTGTTGGCATATTTTATTGATTATGTGCATTTGTTGGTGATCCTGTAGATACATTGATGCAGTTTTTTCCTTAGTTCAACTTATTTGTTCTCATCTTGGGTAGGGTGCGGAACATTATGTTTTTAAAAATGATGAACCGATTGATGGTTAAAATTTTACTGCAACATACAGTTTTGCTAATTTCCATATAAAGTACATACTATACATTTCCTTGTACATGAACTTATTTTTGAGAAGTATAGAATGTTTGAATACATCATACCTTTGTTTTGATTAACTCTGAATGAGAGTTAAGTCAGCATTTTTACTTTTAATGAACTTTCGGGTGAAAAAGAAGAGTAAACCAGCTAAAAGATTAAATTCTCTCTATTTAGATGAGAACCGGATGTTTAGACTCAGCTTAGAGCATTTGTAAAAATAATTATCATAAACATATGGTTTTCAAGAAAATTTTTCCCCAAACCTTTTCATCAATTAGCTATGGAAAATGGTGTTGTTGTTTGCCAGTTGATGTAAACACTTCTGATGTTGGTTGCAATGTTTCCTTGGTAATTTTGCTCTCTGTTGAACTCTATCAATTAATTTGTTTTACTGAATGAATCCAAAGGAATGAAGCATTTCTGAAGATGTACTCTGGTACATCGGAAAAGACTTTGTTTTCATGGAATCTTCTACTCAGGTTTGCCACAGATAATTGCAAGAAATTTATGTTTTTTTGTAAACTTTTTGTTAACCCATTAATCCCTTAGCAGCTCTCTAAGCTGCGACCATTTTGGTCGCCATGGCAAGTGAAAAAAATATTTGGCGACTAAAATTCTGGCGAAAGTCGCCAAGTGGCGACGAACAGATTAAAAGAGAAACATACTTGAAAAATTATCATCAATAGGACAAATTTAATCAATAGTACAAGGTGGGCGACTAAATTTTTTTTATGCCGACCATTTTACAATTGAAGGTCACCAAACAGTGACTTTTTGAATAATTGAGCTTAGAGCGCTGCCTAGGGTGACTGGCTTGCATGCACATGGAAGGTGATGGAAATAAATAAAATGATCACAGATTTTAAGAATCTCCTGATACTCAAACTTTGGGGAGAATATGAAAACCAATTTTTGGTTGCAAAGTGTAAAAACTTGACTCTGATTTATTCTAGTGCTGTGTATTTTGAACTCTTCCTGTTATTTTTTAATCATAGCCTGCCCACAAGTAGTTTTGTTTTTACTTGGAACCTCTGATGCCTACATGTGCATGTAGACATCATGTACACCTGTAGTGTGATTAAAAACATCTCCTGTCCTGTATTGTTTATTCACATATTAATTACCTATCACTGACAGCAATTTAAGAACATTTTTTCTTTACATGTAATGATGTTGCCCCAACTAGTACTGGACTCGATACTAACTTTTCATCTTACTGGCCAAGTGGCTTGTGACAACTTAGATGTTACAACAATTTCAGTTTGTTTACTAGCCAAACTGGCTGGTGGAAATTGAAAACCACTGGCCAAAACTGAATTTCTACTACATAGTCTGTGGCTAGTTGGCTACTGTCAGTGTTAAGCCCTGCTAGTAGTCATTCAGTGATGGTTAAACCAAATTCACATTATAATACATTTTAATTAACATTCAACGATTATGATTCTATCTAATGACAAAGGAGAAATTTTGTTATTCTAGTTTCTATTTTGAGTATTATTACATCACCTTTAATTAAAAATAAGCCACTCTTCAATAATAATTATAATAATAATAATGATAATTATAATGATAATAACACCTTCATTTAGACATGTTAATGTTTAAAGCTGAACAGCTTGTGGGGTTGTGTGTAAATCCAAATAAACCCTAAATGAAATAAATTCAAATGATGGTGGTTTTTGAGGAGAGGGGGAAACCAGAGTACCTGGAGAAAAACCTCTCAGAGCAGATTAGAGAACCAACAAACTCAATCCACTTATGACGCCGGGTCTGAGAATCAAACCCAGGACACATTGGTGGAAGGCAAGCACTCTCACCACTATGCCAACCCTACTCCCCCTAGAGAAACAGCCTAGAGACACATACCGTGGTCAGTATGGACAAATTACGTATGTTATTTACACAAAACACGTGCAAACTTAATAATTTGCAGACAAACGTAACAAAAAGCCAGCAAACTTAACAAAATGTGTACAAACTTAATAATGGACATGCAAACTTAACAAAATGCGTACAAACTTAATAGTGGACATGCTAACTTAACAAAATACGTACAAACTTAATAATGGACATGCTAACTTAACAAAATGTGTACAAACTTTATGACAGGCATGCAAACTTTAAAAGTAGAACGCAACTTTAAAGTGAAACACATACAAACCAAAAATGAAACGCATACAAAGTTAAAATGAAAAACATGTAGACTTATTTGCGTATGTTCTATTTTAAGTTTGCGTGCGTGTTTGCTCTTAAGTTTTTAGGCGTTTCATTTCAAGTTGGTGTGCATTTCATTTTAAGTTTGTTCGTCTCATTAAGTTTGTGCATGTTTTATTAAGTTTGTGTGTCTCATTTTAAGTTTGTGTTTTCAATTTTAACTTTGTACGCTTTTCATTTTTAGTTTGAATGCGTTTCATTTTAACTTTGCTTGCTATTTTTAAAGTTTACATGCCTGTCCTAAAATTTGTACACATTTTGCTAAGTTTGTATGTCTTTTATTAAGTTTGTACGCATTTTGTTAAGTGTGCATGTTCATTATTAAGTTTGTACACATTGTGTTAAGTTTGCATGTCCATTATTAAGTTTGTACACATTGTGTTAAGTTTGCATGTCCTTTAAGTTTGTTAGTGCTTTTTATACATGTAGTTTGCGTGCATTTTATTAAGTTTGCTGGTTTTCTGTTAAGTTTGTCTGCAAATTATTAAGTTTGCATGTGTTTTGTGTAAATAACATACGTAATTTGTCCATACTGGCCACGGTAGACACAGCCTAGAGAGACAGCCTAGAGAGACAGCCTAGAGACACAGCCTAGAGACACAGCCTAGAGACACAGCCTAGAGACACAGTTGGTGGATTGTTCCGAATGCAAGAGATAATGATTTTAGTTTTGGCATGTTGTTAACGTTTTCAACAATTTTGTCTTGTTCTTTCTCTGACTATGCAGCGAGAAAGTTGATCTGGAAACTTCAAAGAGCAGAACGTCAAAAGCCATTATTGAGTTATCGTTAAAAAAGACAACCCCCAACCGATGGCCTGGCTTAACACCACCACATATCCCAGGTAGTTAGATATCCAGGCTTAATTTTTATCCTGCAGTCCTGACAGGCATATTTTTGGGGAGCAAGTACTTGGTATTTTGTATTGAAAAGTTTTTCCATTATCACAGAAAATGACAAGAATTTTTCACCTCCTTGGTGAGCTCCAGCTGTTGGGAAAATGGTGCTTTTTAAGTAACAAAAAGATGCCATGTTGTTGTGCATCTGTTCAGTAATACATGTCCATTAGATCACAGATGATGTCAAAATGTGGTGGAAACAGAATGTTGAGTTGCACACAAGGTGCAGTGGAGTCTGTCTTTTGAATCTTTAATGTTCTTACCACATTTTGATGGCTTCTGTGATCTATTATTATACAGACCCACAAACAAAATGGAATCTATTTCTTTTATATCATAAAAAAAAAGGAAATGTTAATGGTGACCTCTTCTGTGAATTTGTCCTCCAATAGATCATTTAAGTGAGAACTAACCAAAATGTGTGTAAGATTTAGCTTATGTTATACTGGTACCTGATTTTTGTTTTCGAGAATTTACCTTCTAAATTGTCCACTTAAATTTACCCTGCTATAAATCATGTTGACTAAATTGTCTTCCAAAAGTTTATTATGGATGTTGTTGTCATACTGATGACTTGAGTTACACTCAAGCGAAAAACCCTCTACTAAAATGTCACTTTTTTCATTAATTTTTTCAGAAAATATAAAGGACAGTAATTCATCAATCGATAGGCCCTTCAAACAACTAGTGAAAATTCCAAACTCAGATACAGTGTCACTGTCCAAAGAACCAATGACAAATGGAATTCATGAGAATTCTAATAGTGAAGAGAACACTGAGGCTGCTCTGCCTAACGAATCAACCAAAAGCATACCTATGGAAGATAAAGAAAATGTTGGTGAAGAAGTTGCTGCCAGACCTGAGGAAAAACTACTTCAAGGTGGGCATGCTGAGACACTAAAAGAAAGTGACTGTCCTCTGACAAGTGGGTCTTTTGTGTCCGAGAATCCTTGCAACTCCTGTGAAACTTCAGATAGGGAAAGTGCCAACTTAGATTTTGCTGAGGAATGTATACCAGGAGCTGTGGATAGTGATGACTTAACAGAAAATTGTGATACAAAAACTGGACCGCAATCTCAACCACAGGCAAAAGATAGTGTAATTAGAACTCCATATGTACACACTGATTCATCAAATGGGCAAGTAACTTTAGACAAACCTGTTGAAAAAGAAGAAACAGAACAGGATATGTACTCTCAGGTTCAACATGTGGCAGGGACCTCTACTGCAGAAAGCCTGACAACTTCATTCAGTACTCTTTCCACTTCTGTGCAACCTAGTACATCAACTTCGACCCTTCCTTCTGTGTCACCATTTGACTCAAATTTTAGTTCAGCAGGGGAAGGAACTATACCTCCACCACCTCCAATTCCACCACCTCCTTCCTCGCACACACCTGCTGTGCGTGGATACAGTGATGGCCAAGTGAAGACTAGAGTTATGGGTGGAAACAACAGTAATATTAATCACCTTCCGTTCAGTGATGCCATTAAAGCAGCAGCGTCCAAGGGTACCAGCAGCAGTAGTTTTGATGATGATGATGATGATGATTATTATTCTGATCAGGAGTTGTCCTATGTTGGCCTCACAGGGTTGGAAAACTTGGGAAATACCTGTTACTTGAACTCCATAATCCAATGCTTAGCTAACACAAGACCCCTTAGGGACTTCTTCCTTTGTAAGTTTTAACAATATTTTATATGATTTGTAATCTTCAAAAACTGGTCTTGTGCCACAACTGCCACTGGACATTATTTTGAGTTTCATGGCATGATTTATCAGCATGTAAGAGTCTGTCTTTGTGGAATACTTCTTTTTCACTGGGTCTTTCCTTAAGAAACAACTCTGATCAGGGCTCACACCCAAAGCTCTTGTTGCAGACTGCATCAGGCTGAGCAATGAGTAAATGCATCTCATGCATACAGAACACTTGGACATTGTATGTTACTTGGTCAGTGCTGGTATTTTTGGCATCTGACGATTCTTTCAAATCGATAAAGGCCAACTTAACAAAGGGAGAGTCATGTTCAAGTCTGTATTATCTTGCACATGTGATTGTCAGTTTTTTTCTTTCATCTTAATTTATTTCACATTCAGATGAACAGTTTAAAGAGGACATTAACACAGAGAATCCTCTTGGGACTGGAGGAAGGCTTGCTCTCATTTTTGCTGACCTAATGAGAAACTTGTGGTCTGGAAAAGACAGATCATTATCACCATATAAACTAAAGGTAACAAAAAATTAAATTATATGTGCATCACTGCATCCTTAGACATGATCATTTGTTATATCTGGGTAGATAATTGCCATCCCTTGGAAACTAGTCACATTTTTGTTGTTTTTTATTCATGTGGCTGCTTGCAATCATGAATGGTAGATTGTTGAAACTGAAAGAACAGGGTGCACAGACATGACCGTGGCAAGCATTTGAAGAGTAGTTCTTTGTCATCTGAATGATTATTGTTTTTTACTGTAGGGAATTGTGGGTGAGAAAGTCTGTCAGTTTAAAGGGTTTATGCAGCAGGATGCTCAGGAATTCATGGCCTTTTTATTGGATGGCCTTCATGAGGTAAAAGAAGAAAAACGTTTTTTTAGTAGGTGTAGAAAAGCTGTTGCTCTGTTAGTAAAATGAATGTTTAATCGCAAACCTATAATTATTGTAGATAAACTCAAAGAAACAGTTACAACCATTTGCTCTAGAACCTACATAACTTGTGACTATTAACATGTGTTGGGTATTTGTTAGGATCTTAACAGAGTCAAGAAGAAGCCCTATGTAGAAGAGGTGGAGGGAGCAGGGAGGCCCGACACTGAGGTTGCAAATGAAGCATGGAGAAGATACAAGAGCAGGAATGATTCAGTGATTGTAGATTTATTCCAAGGACAATTGAAATCCAAACTCACTTGCCCAGTGTGTAAGAAGGTTAGTCAGGGGAAAGGTGGAGTTGATTGAAGAAGACTTCGACAATCTTAAAGTGCGTGAAAGTTGCACACACACACAAAAAAAAAATTTCAGGAAAATACTGCGATTCATTTCCAAGTTTGATTTGGAAGTTTGGATGGGAGGCTGCTACCAAAATAATATTTGTCTGAATTATTTCCATGTGTCATGCAGGTGGCAGTATTGTAAAATCAGACAAAGTTCTTGGGGAAATTTTCTTGTCAACATCTCTGTTTTAATGATCAACTGTCCTCACTTGTTGTGGGTAAATGCAAATTCAGATCTTTTAACTTCTTTAGATGTAGGGTTAACATGTGTTAACAAGTTCAAAATTAGTCCAAGATGACTCGTTTTGCGTTCAACATATATAAGTCGTTTAAAGCCTTTCTGTGTCACTTTAGTTCATCTCTTGCTACCTTTAATTCAAGGCGCACTTTAGTCTATGATTAACATAACAGATCTAGAACTCAGTTTTACAAGATTGTAAACATATAATCAATTATTAATTATTTTTTATTTTTTGTCCCTAGATTTCAATAAAATATGATCCCTTTATGAATCTGTCCGTACCACTGCCAAAAGATCAGAAAAAGCTGCCTGTGTATATTTTCTTCAAAGATTACAACAAAGTTCCTCTCAAGGTAAAGGGAGAAGGGGGGAATGTTAAGGTTAGCTCAATTGGTTAGAGCGCTGGGTTGTGTTTTGCGGTAGGTCGAGGGTTCGAGCCCTGGCCTGACCAATACTCAAGGTCTTAAAATAACTGAGGAGAATTTGCTACCTTTCGATAATCAAGAAATGGATAGATATTCTAGTCTACGCGGACAAGGACGAATAAACCGTAAGCCCCGTTTCCTACAGGGTTAGGGGTAGGAGACGTTCATTTCTCACGCACGAGATTACTGTATGGTGGATGTCCTCCCCTGGGTGGGATGGGTGGGTGTTGGCCTTCAAAAGCCCCTATGGGGAGTGGTCAATTAACCTATGTATGTGTGTATATGTGTGTGTGTGTGTGTGTTTGTGTGTGCGTGTGCGTGTGCTTGCGCCTGCACGTGCGCGTGTGCGTGTGCGTGTGCGTGTGTGTGTGTGTGTGTGAGGTTAAAAATTGTTCTGGATTTATTATTTTAGAATCAAGCTGGCTTGAATAAGTTAAAACAAAGTAAAAAAGAAGTGACACGTACATTTCTGGCATTTTTTGTTTGTTTATCTGTTCGTTTTTTTCAATCGATGTACATTTTTTGAATTGGTTTATTAGTTTCAAACTTTTTTGTCATTTGCAAACTACTTTGATTTAATTTTGTTGATCTGTTAGTATTAGCCCTTGAGTTTTTAGAATAAAATCAGTCTTTTAATGTCCTTTGTCGTTGTTTAAAATAATCTGTACAGTTCACAGACAAAAGGATAATTCTTTTCTATGTGTCCATTTTAGATTGGGGTGAAAATAGCTTTGGGCGCTAGTATCGAACAGTTCAAGTGTGCTGTAGAAAGATTTACTGGAATTCAGCCTGATAATGTAAGTGGCCTTTTCTGTAAGCGTGCATACTGTTAAACCGACTGGGTGCACTATTTTTTAGGCGATTGTTATTTAGAAACGTTCTTATAGAGAAACCCTAATGGTCTTTGAACTAATTTGCGGACAATTTTTAAAAGTGTTAAACCATCTCAGTGTATCAAAGGGACAAAGCATGTAAAATTGCATAAGATGTCTCTCCTACTAGGGGTTAGCCCTGTTGCAAGTTAATGAATCCTCTCGTATCGGGGGCATTTCAGTTGGCAAAAAAACAAACAAACAAACAAAAAAACCTAAAAGACAAAAACAAAAACAAGAACATTGAAAAGCTTTCTTTCTCCCATAGGCCATTTGTTTCAGGACAGTAATTTCTCATATACTGTAAAGTAATATGCCCTGTTTGTTACTAATGTCACACAGATGAGGGTTTATGAAGTCTTTAGTGGCAAATTTCACCGCGCATTTGACAACGCAACCAGCTTGTCTTCTGTGATGTCAACTGACATAATAGTTGTGTGAGTACTTGTATTTTACTCATTCTCATATTTGTAAAGTATTGCAATGTGGTGGTTGGTTGCTAAGGGGAAAAAACATGGATCTGCTTGAGGTTAGAAGAGGTCTACAACAGTGAGAGAATATAAAAAAATTATCGATGTATTGTGAAAATGACGCCCAAGAAATAAGTGTGATCGTAAGGTGTTTTTCGATAATACTCGAATTTTCTTACAACTCTTTGATCGCCAAAAGATTTGTTGATACTGTGCTTGTGCCATAGCAGGAAGCGGGAAGCTTTTCGCAGAGTAGAAACGCCGGAATTTTGCAGCAGAATATCTACACGTTTGTGTTTATTATTATTATGTTTATTTCGTCGCAGTTACGAAGTGCTCAGTGAAGAGGAGGCAGGCGAACCAGTGTATGAAGTACCAATTATACAGGTATCACCTCTAAGTTCCGAAAGCTAACCCTCCTGATCTATTATAATAGATTTCTCTGTAGCGTATGCTTGAGAAGACTCAATCTTCCCGAAATTTTAACTGTTTTAACATACTATGTCCACAGGGCAGTGCAATAAAATCGTAAATGGAGGAGGCCTAAGTATAGTATTACGCCAAATTTTTCACAGGATGTTGCTTTTGAGGGAAATTGACTAAACGCAAGCTCCTTCACAGTTGTTTTTTTTTCCATTCTCCCTTTCCCTTAAGCCTCTAGGAGAACAATTTAACGATCTCGCGAGTTTGGTCGTAGGGATAAAAGACCAAAAAGATAACACAACGGCAATGAAACTAAAGGGCACATAAAAATGGATTGTTGGTGGCTTATTCATACGAGAGAGAGTTTCCTTTAGATGCAGTAAAACGCAGAGTTCGACCAGGTTTTATATTTATTTCCTATTTTTTGTTTTTGTTGTTGTTTTCGTAGAGAACAGTGTGTCCACGAGTGGTGCCCTCTCATTGTGCAAGCTGCTACAAGCATCCGGGACACAATGAAACACTACGGAGATGCACTCAGTGTTGGGGGATAGGATATTGTAACATGTAAGTAAAAAAACAAATGTTTTATCACCATACTTCACTGCGTGTCGAGGTAGTACCTTCTTTTCCATGGTGTTTCCTTCGTACGCTTCATTTTCACGCGTGAGCAGCGCACGCGCGGGAACAAAATAGCAGCTTCTATCACGGCGTTCTCGTGCGCTTGCGGCGGCTGGCGTTTTTAGCCGGTGACTCGTTTTTAGCCGGTGACTCGTTTTTAGCCGGTGACTCGTTTTTGAAGCGTTAACTTCTACTACGTAGAAGTAAAGGAGTTGTAATGATCTGAAAGGAATGTCAACCTTTTGCTGGGTAGTGACTTTTTTGTGTTTGTTTACTCAACTGAAAATTCTCTGGAGAGGACAGTTATTCTGATAATGTACCAAAGCTCGCCAGGGATGTAGATCGTGATTTTATCGTGAACGAGCGTGGTAACCCCTCGCGTGCGAGGGGATAGGGATACATGTAGAAGATGGGAGGGGAGGTGAGGGGAGGGAACGTGATGCGAGGAGAAAGAAGTCATTTTATCATAGCATTCTTTTGTGTATTATGCAGGCAATGCCAAAAAGATCATTGGACAACTCATAAAAAGACATGCAAAAGGGTACCTCAACCCATTGGATTACCCTTCGTTATCAGCATTCCTGCTTCAAAAGCCACCTTCAAACGACTTCAAGTTATGGCGGAAGAGTATGCTAAGTATGTCGAATCTTGATAATTTCAGTTCTTTTCTTTTTGTTTTGTTGTCGTCGTTGTTTTTGCATTGCACTGCACTGCATCAGCTGTTATAATTTTCAGCTCACCCGAAATTGAAAGGGCGCAAACGTCAGTCATGATATTCATTCGTACTTTCCAGTCTTTTCTATTGAATGATTAGGTATCTCAGGTTTAGCTACACAGTACGAAAAGATATTTTTTCACTTAACTTAACCAAGATATTGCATTCAGTGAAATTTGTGTTTTTTGTGCGTTTGAATGTTTGTTGATTGGTTTGTTTGTTTTTTTTTCGCGGCAGGTATTCAGTAATTGTTCAGCCCGGTGATAGCAGCCCGCCGACCTCGCCAACAAATGTTGACAAATCGACCCCAAGCGAGGACTCCGGTGAGTTAAACGACGAGAAAATTGTTTAATTTGTGGGTTAAAATGTTGCCTTATCATCTGTTCCAGCATGGTCTCCGGTGCAAAACCTCTACCACTGAATTCTAGTATATCTGTCAATCGCCATGCGTTTCTTTGAGTCATCATGTACGAGATAACTTTCCGTCAACAGTGTTCTACCCAAAGGAATTA